AGTGAAACGTCAACGACATGTTGAGTTGAGGGGCTAAATGCATACATATACATATATGTATGTACATCCCTACTCTTACAGAAAATCCACGCTAATGGCAGCTACGGTCGCTGAGTTGCTCCCCAAGAGCAAGAACAGCAAGAACAACACGACATTTTGATATAACGCCAATTGCTAGCCAAAGGCGAAACAACAATTGTAGCAGTCCGACTGGGTTGAAGTGGTGTTGGGTGGCAATGTGGGCGAATGGAAGGATAGAAGGATGGAGAGCTGAAGCACCATTAGAGCGGATGGTTGTCAAGCGGCGTGTAAACAAAGGCTAAGGGAAATACAAAAAATATTTTTTTATTTTTCAGTCAATTGGCTTTTTGTGTTCAGCGAAACGACGGGCGATTTTGCATGCACCTTACCCTTTCATCGGCGCACAAGAGGAGCTTTCACCTGTTTCGCGTTTATAGAAAATTGCCGCTTGGAAAGGGTGCTCTTGTTATGCACTATAACGATGGGCTTGTTGTTGGTGTTGTTTTATTATGCCTGCAGTCAAATACATCAAAACAATACCTTTTTGTAAGACTTTAAGAAAAACAATGGCAAACAACAATTTCTACGAAATGGAAACAGAATTCGAATTGTTTATTTGTATTATTTGGATGGCATTTTGAGATTTTCTGAATGGCAAAGTGCAGAAGGAATATTGCGGGGGGAAGGGGGGGGGGCAACGCAGTACTGAATCAATGAATCGCAACCAAAATAAAGATTTAAAATGTCATGGTTCGTGTGCTCACGAAAACGTCATAAGTTAAATATTAAAAAAAAAAACAAGTAAGAGCAGCGCTGTCTTCGGCTATGCTGAAGGTTTCATACCTTTCATGAACATCTGAAAATGTTATTTTAACAGATTACTGCATTTGACAAAATGTATATATTCACAGCATACATAGATAGCGGAGATACATATATAAAAAATCATATCTAAACAATTAGAGGTATGGAAGATATACCTTACATAGCACCAATCTAAGGCATGTAAACTGGTAACACAATTTAATGGGCTTAACTTCCTACATAAAGAAGATATATCGCACAAATTGGTATCTGAAATATCAGTGGTATAGGAGATAAAGCTTATACAGCATCGATTTTGACGATTTTCTCAGAGGACTTTGTATTATTATTTATAAAATCGCTTGCGAAATTTATCGGTTTTAGCTGTCCAAATAAAGAGGTTTTACAGTAAAATCCCATATCTGTTGTATGGAGGCAATAAAAAGGTTACAGTGATCCGATATTTCTTCATTTTACTGTAAACTTTCTGTTGATAATGAGTGAAAATAGTGCGAAATTTCATGTTTCTAGCTACATAAATGGAGAAGTTATTACAAAAAGTCTCATATCTGAACAATCAGTTGTATGAAGACTATAGGTTATGGCGACGCGATCTTCGACATTTTTACTATAAGTATTCTCTTCAAAATGAGTGACAACATTGCAAAATTTCATGTTCCTAGCTACACCAATTGAGGAGTTATAACGAAAAATCTCATATCTGAGCAGCCAGTTGTATGAGAGCTATAGGTTACAGTGCCCCGATCTTTGTAATTTTCACTGTACGTATTCTGTTGATAATGGGTGGAAGTATTGCAAAATTTTATGTTCCTAGCTGCATAAATGGAGGAATTATAACGAAAAATCTCATATCTGAACAATCAGTTATCAGGAGCTATATGTTATAGTGGTCCGATTCCTCCGGTTACGACAAATGATTAATACATTATAAAAATAGACGCACTTACAAAATGTCATCCGGATATCTGAAAACTGAGAGACTAGATTGCATACAAAGAAACAGATGGACAGACGGACTTGGGCTAAATTGACTCAGCTCGACGTTCTGATCATATAAGTATACATTGTGATGGGTCTATATCTTCTTAATCTGGTACTTACAAACTTATAGTACCATTCCATGCTCGTGAAAGGTATAAAAAACGAAATTGCGAACTATACGTTTTTTTTACTAAGATCCCTTGAATAAAAATAAGCAAAAACTAAATTCATACAGTCAACGTCCAAAATATGCATACCCTGACATTTTGACGATTTTATTTATTTATATTTACCATACAAATTTTTTCTCACTTTTTTAGCCGACTTTAAATAAATAACTTTGGTTTTAGCAAAGGTGATGCCTCAGAGGTGGTCCCATACTAATGTCGATTAGATCCAATAATTGGATCATGAAGAAATTAACAGTACTCTTAAATTTTTTTTAAGAGAATTGAAGTCGGTTTTATTCTTTGCTTACAAATTACTCGTTATAAAAATATAACGGCAATTCATTAAAACACTTAAATGCCTCATATCCATGCAAGTCCTGTAAACTTACTTAATTTTGTATGGGGAATCGGTTTATTTACGAGATTTCATTTTCCTAATTCGTGTCGCAAAAAAGTGGGTGTTGTTGTGGATCTGCTCGCATATCTAAAAAATATTGTGTAGTTACGTTACATGGATGAAAATACGAAACACTGAGGTCAGAAAAACCTCAAAAATCAACGCTAATCTTCGGCGAATTTTAACTTGCACTTTATTATACTAAAATTTAATGGGGTACAAAACTACGTACTAAAAATTTCTTATTTTATTTTTTTCAAAGAAATCGAATTGAAAATATCGATGAAAATTTCTTGGTATTTCTTGCATTTTACCGTTTTTCAAATTAATTCTTGTGGTTTTTGCAGTTGAATGAACTACATTTAATAAAAACAAAAAAATAACAAAAATTTGGTTTGGTAAAAATATGTAGTTATAAATAAACAAATGCGTCAATACGTTAGGGTACGCATATTTTTGACCTGACTGTATATATATATATGAGAAATATTATCATAAATTATATCCCGAGTACAAAGCTATCATTGCGTCTTAACCTACGCCTTGCTGTGATAAAAGTACGATCATTTCCTAATATTTACTTAGTTGCTAAGCAAAGTAAAACCACTTGAGTAAAATTGTCAGAAAGGGTAAATCTCTTCTTGGGGTGCACATTTGGTGGATACCGTTATGAATTTTTTGCACAACCAAAAGGCAGGTGCTAGCGAATATTTCTGTGGTCATAAGCAATAACTGCCTAAGTCGAAAAACCTGAAATCGAGGAAAAGCGTTTTAAACATTTGGATCGTAATGTTATCCTTATAGCGAGATGGGGATTTCACATACACATAGACTAGTAGTTGCAGAATACGATAGCATATATCATTCAATTCTTTCTTATGTCGACTTAGGTGGTTATTGCTTATGATCACAGATTTCTGTATACTTATTCAAACAAATAGACTGACATTGTTCACATTCATAATTATAGGTATCATCGCTTTTGATATATTAATAATTAGAATAGAAATAATCCTTATCTGCAAAATATAACATGTGTATTACTGTAGTGAATTTAACAATAATGAAAGTAATTTGACAATAGAGATGCAACGGAAGTGTTGTTCTCTCTCTCTTCTGTGAAGGATTTCAGAAATCGGAATAAAACTTAGGTTGCGTACAGAGTAGGAGCCCAACCGAAGATGAAGCTGAAGCTGAAAACTCATATTAAACGAAGTGTAATAGTAAACGAATGCGTTCGGACGGAAGTTGCCCTACCCTGCTTCTCTGTTATACTGTAGCGGACCAAATCAAGTCTCTACACCAGCTTATTGTTACCCGATCATTGCTCGCGTTTTAACGATCGTAATCACCACCCGAGATAGGTACTCCATAGAGAAATCCCTCAGGGTAGTTTTTTCTACACTTATGTAATGCAAAGCAGGTGTATATGGTCCTGCCGTAGGGCATCGCAATGTTAATTTGGCCACATTTTTTGTAGGCATTTCGGTTAGGTAAGTTTCGGTAAAGAGTACTGCACTTTACAGCCGTACATGAAGAAATCGTGCCAGTGAAGACGATTCCAACGAAGATGAAGCGAACTTTCAACCCAAAAGCACCTGTTTACGCCACCCAAGTGGCTTCATCTTCTAGGAAAGACGCTTTCAACAGACAAATCTGGCCTGTATGTCTGTAGGCCAGATTGGTAAAGATATTCTCTAATATCTAAGAGCTGACCAGAACCAGAATAGTTAATTTTTGTAGTAATCAAATTAGAAGCTTCCAATTTTTATCTAAAATTTCGAATGTTCTACAATTCTTTCAACTTGATATTCCATACTTACTTGCCAAACCATGCGCCGTCACTGCTGGTGAAACGATCCACAAAATTGTGTAAAGAAATTGCCGATATATCACTGAGCGCATAGTAATGTGTAAGATTGTATTCCGGAAGCCAGTTGGGTTCGCCCACTTGATTCGCCAATTGTAAATCCATAAAGTACTGCGTGTAGTCCAGCACCTGTAATTATACATACAAGCCAGGTGAAAAGTGAGTTAGTAAATTGTACAAAAAAAAAACGAAAGAATTGCGGTGAAAGCAATTAAATATTTTTTTAGGCTTGGTTAGAGCAGCCACGCTCATACAATAAAGCGAAAATTACATACACGCAATGTAAATTAGTAAGAATTTAGTTGGCTATTGAAGCCGATGCTTTAATAAGAGTTACAGTGTTTTTTTTTAACGTATGTAGATTTCCCATGCTAATGATTGGAAGTATTCCCCCCTCTGTCACAAATGGTAGCTGAGAGGATGACCTATCTCAACGGCAACCCACTATGCCAAACCCAACATGCATATTAAGCAGGAAAATCCTCTATTACTGCTATACATCGCCTAACTCAACGAAACAATATCAATGGGTATGACAAAGAAGGATATTCCTAGCCTAGTAACTCCCTAGGTCATATGGAAATGCAGAATCGTAGTGGTTGAGCTAGCAGGCTATCCGTGGCGTCCTCAAGGGGAGTCTTTTCACCCCTACTATGGACGCTGGCTGTCGAAGAACTCTCGGTTTAATGTATTAAGTTGCTACTCAGGTCAAATTTTCATCTACTTTATGGGTTGACATGAGGACACCATATGCTCCAGAACCATTGAATGTGTGCGTAAAAGGGCTTGTCAATGCACAACGGTATCTATTTCACCAAAAGAAGAGGTCAACCTGCTCAAACCTAAATTGTAAAGTATGGAGATATAGTTTTCACAAGGTGCGAAATATCTAAAGGTGACACTAGATCAACAACTCATCGCTACCCTACACCTCACATCGATTACCAATGAAGCCACAAAGGCGATTTATGTTTGTCAAAGACTTCGTATTAAATATTGTGGAAAATCCCTCAATTTGGCATATTGGCCATAACAAAATATGCAGCGCTTATCTGCAAGGTTCGCGGAGACCTTGTCGGTCGTTGACCGTAAAACAATAATTTGGCAACTGAGAGTTAAGGGCCTTAGACTCACGTAAAATACATAAAAAGTTTATCTTGTGGTCGTTTCCCGGACATGAGAGCTTTAATGGCAATGAAAGAGCTGATACTCTCAAAAAATTTGGCGACTAACGGAGCGTGTATGGCCGTTCTGCGGTCTATTTAAGGTGTATTTAGCTGAGATACCAAGAAGGTGGGAAAATGCCAGGTTGAGTCTGACTGGCGCACTTACGTAGATTCTTTGAAGAATTGCTTAATTTTAGCAGGGTGAGTCTAATAGTTCACTTTCACCAAGCCTCAACTGCAGTTTATGTCTATTGGAAAAAGCAGATTATAACTCGAAGGAACTAAGTACAAGCAAACGAAAGAAAAAAGGCAACAATTAAGAACTAAACCTTGCCGATCACTTCTTGTTGAAATTATTGCGACTTATCTGAGCTCTCAACTGCAGTTTTGCGTTTGGTGGAAATGGGGTATAAAACTTACACTATAAATATGGCAGGACACTGCAAGCTAAAGTACCACTTTCTTAAAACGGGACTTTCTGATGAGACTACAGGTTCACACATATATTACTTTTCATATCAATGCAAGCCTATTACATGCGCCCACACTTTTCATTTTCAATTTCATAAATTGTTTATAATGCCTTTTGCTAAAATTTCAAAATCCAAAGTTATCAAAACAAATTCTGTGGGACTGAGAAATATTTGGGGTATTCACAACGGTGTCGTAAGTGTCGTATTGTTGTATGCCGTAAACTTTAAACGCCTAAAAAATATGTAAGTAAAGTACCATCAAAGTCATATTTCGAATTTTGGTAGTGTTAAAAAATATTTCGTTGGCGTTTCAAGTTCGCTAAACATTTATTTAAGCTTTTAAAGTTTACAACATACAACAATACGACACTTACGACACCGTTGTGAATCCCTCAATTATTTTCTACTTTTTAGCCCACTTATAAAAGCGTGGTATATTAAAAAGTTTTTTTCTTATCTTATTTATTTTCTACAAAGATATTAAGATTGGTGCACACACCAAAAATGCATGTGAAAAAAAAGTCGGAATTTTTATGCTCTCACCCCCTAGGATTGTTCTATTACGAAAAAATTATACCCTTATTTTATTATTTTGAAATCAAAAAATATTTAGAGGTCGTTCAAAGCGCCAAAAGTTTTCCATGTATTTTATATGGGGAAAAATAATTTTTCGTAGTTAAAATATAGTTAAAAATCAATATTTTTCTACCAGAAAACTCTACTTATCTGTAGGACACTCCCAGTAATAATACCCAATTGTTTCTTTAAACATTTTTTCATTGCAACTATAATTTATAGGTCCGTCACAAACTCACAGAAACCTCGAAAAATCCAAGGGGCGACCAATAAGAAATCGTTTGTATTAAAAAATGGTTAAATAAACAATTAGATATTATTACTGAAAGTCTCCTGAAGAGAACCAGAGTCTTCCGATAAAAATAAAATATTGGCTCTCAAGAATTCTATACCATCTCTACGAAAAAATATACTTTTCCCATATAAAAATACATGGAAAATTTTGAGCGCCTTGAGCGACTTCTAAATATTTTTCGATTTTAAAATAAAAAAAATAGGGGAATATTTTTTCAATATAGAACAATTCAAGGGGTAAGAGAATTACAATTCCGACTTTACTGTTTCTGGACCACCCTAATGTACATAGATGCGAGCACCAATTAATTTCATTTAAAGAAATGGCGTGTTGTCCATTTTCGCGTTGTGTTTGTAGTGCATATTTTTAGGCGCTATATTCAACTACTTGCGGCGAGGCGATATCTTCCTCGAGAAATTTTCATATGATACCTTCCGGCGAGGTTGATGTCCAGACTTTTTTATAGGATTTTTCAAAAGCACTAAAAAGAGGTTAGTTTTTAATTTTTTCTTTGTTAAAGGTTGATTTTTTTTTCATAAAAATCAAAATATTTTGGAAAAACGGTAAAGAGATAAAAAATCTACAGTCCAAAATTAAGCTTACGTGTCTCAGCATTTGTTGTGTCATTATAAAACTTGAGATTTTTCCTACAATGTTATTATTCCCATCCACAGTCTGAAACATGACATACTCCAAAATGTTTAACTTTAGGAATAGCTCAAGATCGGAGAAATTGCTTCAACGTTAGCACAATAGATGCCGCAATAATAAATAGTAATGGGCTTATTAAAAGAGATGCAAATCTATTGGGTTCCACTATTAGATACTTAACTTCTTTTTTTCAGAATGTTTTTGATGCTTTGGAGGTCTTTTGCTAAACGTGTTACTTCCATAAAAGTTTAAAACCTCGAAGCACTTCACTTTCAAAGAAGTCTGACTCCTTTAAAGTTAGTAGAAATACGAACGAACCTTATTCTTCTAGTGAAGAGCACAGCGCTAGTTTCAGCTACTCCTGTGACACTATATTTAGTGTTCTTTGCACTTAACTTCAATCACCTTCAATCAAGGCCTAGTACATCGTCTGCATAGAGCCGGGTGTAGATATTAGTGCCTGAGAAACGAAGAAGTTAGAGAAAAGCAGTTGTGAATTCCGCCTTTTTTCTAACGACCTTCAGCGACAGCATTGCACGAATCCAATCTCCGCACGGAACTACTTTCTTCTTCTTCTTTATTAGCGCTATAACCGCCTAAGCGATTTTGGCCGAGTCCAAAACAGCACGCCAGTCATTTCTCTTCCAAGTCCTTCTCGACCTGGTCTTTCTACGCAGAAAAGGCCTTTCTCTTCCTCTGTTACCAGCAGCGCGACCCGCGTTGAATACTTTCAGAGCTGCAGCGTTTCTGTCCATTCGAAAAACACGACCTAGCCAGCAGAACGGCTGAATTTTAATTCGTTGCACCACGTCTATATCGTTGTAAAGCTTAAACAGTTCATCGTTAAATCGTCTGAGGTATTCGTCATCCTTTATGCGCAACATCGCAAAAAAATATAGAAAAAAGGTTTTTTTCTTATCCGCGATCGTCCCTCGGTAGGCAATGGGAAACGTCCGAGTGTATTTCTGCCATGAAAGACGGCTTATCATAAAAATACAATCGCCATTCGGAGTCGGCGTAAAACTGTAGGTCCCTGCGATTTGTGTGACAACATCAAGGCGCACGCCACAAGTCGGAGGAAAAGCTCGACCAAACACTAACATATGTGTAGGCGCCAATCTATTATTATTATTAATGCGCAAAGGTTCATTAATCTTTCGCAGAATCTTTCTCTTGAAAACTCCAAGAGCCGCTTCATCAGATGTTTTCATTGTTCACGCCTCCGCGCCATTCACCAGCACAGGTGTACGACGAGAGAGGACTTTACTTCTGCCCACTCAGTTCAAAGTAGCGCTTGTTTGCAAGAGTGATTCTCCGTGGGAATTCAAGGCTGGCTTTATTATTGGTTTTTATGCTGGTTCCCAAATAAACGAAGTCGTCTACTTTTTCAAAATTGTAACTGTCAACAGTGACGTGGCTGCTAAGATGCGTATGCTCTGACTGTTTATGTGATGACAGGAGATACTTCGTTTTGGTCTCGTTCAACACCAGACCTATTCGCTTTGCTATTCTGATCTACTTTACGCGTTGAAAATGCTATCGAAAGCCAAAAAGTATACAAAATGACATGAGCTTGCGAAGTGTGCTTAACTCAGGGGTTAGCTTGCAGGATTTGCATATCGCGTGACACGGGTTCATCCCTCTTCTCTTTGTTCCGTCCATGGAAGACGCTAAATTGAACGGAACGAGCCGACCAGGTAAGGCTCTTTGCTGCCAATTAACGAGGCGATTATCACCGTTGCTAATCACTTGTGGAACAAGCGGGAAGACTAAGAACGCGGATTTGCAGGAAAAATACAGGATACCTTCTGAGAACAAAGGCGAGTACCCATAACTACTCTCTGCAGAAGCTGCCACGATGAGGATGACGAGCAATGATGGTCAATTGGACCCCTTTCTGTGTGACAGTCAAAGAGTCCCAACCAATTGGCATTACGCTTCCTCAACAATTTTGCGGAGATAACGGACGTGCAACACTTGGATCTCCTCGACTTCATTTAGAACAGGCGCTGGTTCAGTGGGCTAATGCTATCAAAGATATCAAAATTTCGCTGTGGTTAGGAAGCCCCTCCTAACACTCACTCAAACGGGACACTCTACAACGGACAACACCGAGTGAAATTGTAGAACATTTTATACACCTAACCTAACCTGACATTCTCGCTGAATTCTAGAAAGATTTGATAAGAAAATTGGTGATCCACAAAGCAACTGTAAATTGTACAGTTAATACTTTGTTGCTATTTCCAAATTTTTTTTAGCCAATAACTATATCTCCTCAGCCTGGTGTATGCAAATTAATTTTCACCAGCCGGGTTGTTTTCAAAGCTGCATGCATTGCAAAATTGTCTATCATAAAATCGACAACGATGTACTAAACTGCAAACACACTTAGCTGCAGAAGTGATGAAAGCGAGTAAAAGCTAAAATGTGCATAACTTTGCGAACGCTTGAAAGTGGCATAAATTTGTAACGCGTTGAACAAATGCTAAGAGAGTTTTTGTGAACGCGAACAGGATGGTGTTGGCCATGCCATCATTTGCATATGAATGCGAATATACATATTTATAGGATATATGTATGTACATACATATGCATATAGTAAAGTGAATATGTGCCAATAGTGTAGCTTTCAAGCGGAATATAAGGAGAGGCATGCGCCACTCGCCAAGCGGATGTACGCTGAAACGGAAGTAACTGTATAAGTTTGCAGCTGTATAAATTAAATTTGTAACACACTTTGCTACATTGTGGCCGAATAAGGACAAACACACTCACAAATAAAAAATCATAATGCAAGTGAAAATAGTTTTCGAGACACAAACTTTTAACTCAGTTGCGAAGATTTAACAATAAAATGGAATGCGAAAGTAGAGCGGAGCGCACAAACGCAGCGATTGAGAACAGAACCCAACCTCTTTTCACGTGGGCTTGTCTTGAGTACGGAAGTGGAATACAAATTCAATTTCGAAGCAATGTCAGCAATTCAAAGTGTGCTAAAAAATAGGAATTTCTGGTAAATATTAGTTTTTTTTTTGTTATACAGAGTAACTATGACCTAAAAATGATTAACAACCTCTATATAGACATATGTATATTAGATTACGTAAAAAAAAATCCTGGAATGCGACCGGAATAAGACTCAAAGTTTAGCACTTGGTATAGTACCTGATGATCCTCCATGAACCTCGCCTCTCTACGACAATTGTAAGAGGTCCCGCGGCAAGCCTTTAATTTTCCCATAGGAATTACACGTAAGAAAATGCGTTCTTTTCTTTTAAGGTCAATATAATTTTCTAGGATCAATGAAAACGCTCGAAACTTTACGAATATATTGATTACATGCCATTTGAGTATTGTGCATGCTCAGATTTAGAGGGATTAAAAAGGATAATTTAGGAATTTAAATAATCAGAAACTGCTTGCATCTGTTCATATTTAAATTCTTAACAGTGGGGGATGAAATAAATTAAACTTTTTATTTTGACCTGTTTTGGCTATATTACCTTGTTTATTCGATGTTTAATATTTTTTCATAAAAGTCTAGCGCTTTATATAACACGCGGCATATAACACACTTCAAACTTTGTACACAAATTTCACAAATTCAACAAATTTTAACAATATCATCCTAAAATTTAATTCAGATTTCTTTTTTTTTTATTTAATGTTTGCAGTTTTATAGCCCATTAAATTTTAGTGGGTTAATTTTTTTTGCAGACGCTGCTAGGCATTTTTTCCGCATAAAAAGAAATTTTGAGCATGATCGAGCATGCTTTATATGGAAGAAAATGCACAACACCGTCAGCCAATAAAAAAAAAAATCAACGCGATTTTCTAGCGGCTTGAGATATGCACATTAACCCACTAATTTAATGGGCTATAAAACTGCATACCCCAGATTTTTCAAAAAAATCTGATTAAAAAGTTTGAAATTTTTGGGGACTTTGGTAAAATGTGTTGAATTTTTATCATTTTTGTACAAAGTTTGAAAGGTGGTTTTTATGGGCTATAAAACTGCAGACCCAAAATTTTGCAAAAAAAATCTGAGTAAAAAGTTTGAAATTTTTGGGTGATTTTGGTAAAATTTGTTGATTTTTTATAATTTTTGTACAAAATTTGAAATGTGGATTTATATGGTGCGTGTTATATAGTGCGCTAGACTTTTATGAAAAAATATTAAACATCAAATAAACAAAAGTAATATAGCCAAAACAATTTTTACCAGTTTCTATTATTTCTTCTACCACTGTACATTTCTCATTTTATTTTTTATAACATTTACCTTAATCACATCTAATTACGTTTTTGCAAACTTAATTTTGGTTTAAAAAACGAGAAAATTTAACCACTGTTATCTTTTGTTAGTTATGTTAAACATGGGAATAAACTGGAATGGAACAGCTTTAGATATCGTAAACTAGTAACTTTAATGTTTGCTTACGATTCTTCTCTCAATGGGTAAATTAAAACATGAGATACGGTTTCACTATCGAAAACTCTTCGCAAGAACTTTTGAAAACGTATAACGAGTAGGAGAGTTCTGCTGCCACAAACTGATACTTTCACGACCCATTCTCGAAGTGTTAACAAAATTTCAAAAACGGATACATTCTCGTGTACGTTGGTCGGGTGGGTAAGTATATTTAGTAGTCGTAACTACGCTCTTCCTCAGAAGTAGTAAGAAATGGCTCAGTTCTCCAACTCAAGTTGAGATAATCTGCATTTACTTCGTGAGGCACCAATGCATAAGGTAAAGTCGCTGGAGACCGCCTTGGACACAGTTGGACCGCCTCCAGACGGTCGTTAACTAAACACCTTTTTAGTGCACCTATAATAATTTTTTTCTATATTCGCAAGGCACAATCTTTAGACAAAAATCGTGCCCTTACGGCGAAGTAAATTTTAATCCGTTATGTCAATCCGTTTTATTTTAATCGGCAGTTGAATTACAGATTTTGAAAACACGGTTAGAATTAATTATTTCTTGCTATTTAGTAATTTCGTTATTAAAGAAATTTTTTCCTTTGGAAAATTTTTTGATATAAAAAAATTCGGTGGATTTCGTTGTTAAAAGCACCGTATTTTAATATAAGTTTTATAATTATGTCACCATTCGAAATGGAGAAAATTGCTTTCGAACACAAACCGTCTACAGATCGGCTTGCCGACATACAAAACCCCAGTTTTGCATTTTTGACCGTCTGCAGACGGCATTGCCGGTTCGTAGGTCAACATTGTGTAAGAGAAAGCTGAAAACATGTGTAAGTATGTATATCGGCGAGCCTGTCTCCAGACGGTCGTGGTTTTTCTCCCCTGTAGGAAAAAGTTACTGTCACAGATCGAAATGGACATAAGTTTTGGATTTCTCGTGCTAAAATCACCCATTCCTGAATTTTTCAACTCATAAAAAAATTGGCCTACTAGAGGGTTAAGGTTAGAACTGGCCCAAAATAGAGCCTGTAGGTACAGGCTTCAAGTTTTAGGGGCATTCTCTTTGAAGTGTGTGCCTAATTGCGTAACCGGATAATGTTACTGTACAACTGTTTGGTAGTACGAATCGATTTTCTGTAAAAATAAAACACTTTAAATAAAGTTGCTCTGCACACATATTTCCTTAACCCCAAGCACACAATGCTGCTGAATATTTAATGGCATCAACTACATATTTTTATTTCTTAAATCATGTTTCTCAAAAAACACTCAATGTCTACTGACCTGACCGGAGTCCGTATCGAATTTGTAAAGACGCATCGCTGGATTATTTGAGCCAACGTTTAATTTCCGTGGTGTTACGGATGGCGAAATCATCATCCATGAAACCGGTTTGCCTGGAAATACAAATAAAAATACATTCACATACATGAGATATTGCAAAAATTGTGCGTTCGCAACAACTGCTGTTTCGGTTATTAGAGCGTAAAAATAAGTTATTCTCTCACAAGTGTCAAAAATATGTCAACACGCGCCAAAAGTGCCCAGAGCGTGAGGAACGCAAAAAATCACATTTCATGCCCGGAATCAACAAATCAGCTCTAAACAATTATTTTATGTGCATTTAACTTATATATGGCTAAAAAAATTAGCAATTACCTACATTTCTGAAACTTCAGTGCTATTTTCCATGTTTGTATTTTATGAAAGCTGCTTTCGAATGTAAACAAAAAACAACAATTATTTCAAATTCCCTTCTTTCATATTTCTGCCGGGAAAAAAGTCTAAGCGGTTTCTGGCACGAAGAAGAAGACATTTACGATCCCTATCAATTACCCATTTTTCTAGCGTGAGGAACGCTTTCTGGGCTGTTTTGCACATTGTTATACTAAAATTTAATGGGATATAAAACTGTGTATACCAAAAAATTCTAAAAAAATTTTAAATTTGTTATGTACTCATTTTACTCAACTTCGGTGTATAAAAATTCATAACTCAAATTATTGTATAGCGCACCCCATAATACTATACTTAAATATTGCGCAATAAGGCTGGTATGCAGCTCCCAAGAAATCGGTCAAGAAAAATTTGCCATTATTTTGTGTGTGTATCCAAGGAATTTTGACATTTTTGATACTTCACAGCCTGTTGCCTCACTCTTTCCTCAAGGAATAATGGAACGGGCATATATTTCAGTTGCAAACCTGGGTTGCCTTGTGCTCTTTTTTCACAAAAAACTTTAGAAAACCGTAGTAAAAAGCGGAGCAAATTGCTCAAGAACTGCGTACTGTCTGAAGGAAATTTGACTCAAGAAAATTTCTTAGCAATTTTTTGTACGTCATTTTGTATGGAATTTTAGCTTTTCTTGAGAACTGCATACAGGCCTATACTCAGAGCTACTATTGTAATTTTTTTAAATTTTGTTCGATATTGCATATGTTTAAAAACTAATTTCTTTATAAAAAAATGTGTATATGAAAAATGTTTCAAGAAAAAAAATTTTTTAATATTTGTTTTCATAGAAAATTTTGATGATTGTATGTGTGATTTTTTTCAAATTTTTTCCTCGCCGCGTTCTCGAGATATTTGGAAAACTATTAAGCCGATTTGTTTTTGTTTTTGGTGCTGTAAAGTTCTTAAAAATGTATTTATCAAGCTCAAATTTCTTATTTATTTATGCATCAACCCTAAAAATTTTAAACTAACCAAACACATGAAGTGTGAACCCCGTCCGTTTTGGTATGGAACACCCCATATACAGAAAGGTAAAAGTTTCAGTATGTTTGGAAGGCGCATTGTTTGGCATTGATTTCCAAATGCTCGGTATCTGGTTCACCTATAAGAAAAAAAGTATCCCATAAGTTAATCTAGGCAAAAAGCTACCAGCGTACCAAATTTCACACAAATCGGACCATAAATAAGAATAGATCGGTCCCTGGCCCACCTACCGCAAAAAACTAAATTTTTTTATCATAGGTCATAGGTGGTTACTGAAAGATATTTATATACAAAAATTTCATGCCAATCGGATAGGGCGCTCGCGAGATTACCTGTTACAAAAAAGGAGACTTCTCTTTATATAATTAGTATAGATACAGATTGCCTCCTCTGAAAAGGATACGTCGGTTTGAGTTTTTTTAATGATCATTATTCTTAAGTAAAAAAAATAAAATTCAATAATAATCATTATCTTTGAGCGAGAACAAATAAAAATCAAGTAACAATAATGTCTTTTGAGCCAAAAAAATTAAACTCAAATAAAAATTATATTTTTTTTTATCTTTATTGTGTTCGAGACACAAATACGTGAGTGTAGTAGTTTTTGGTTAAAATTAAAAAATAATGATTATTTTCCGTCCCTGAATTAAATATATCGTGTGATCTGTACCCGAAACTGCGCGCAAATGAAATTAAATTTCATGAGTATACAAGAATGCAGATAAAAATATTTGACTACTTATCAGAAAATATACATGACATTTGTTATAATACCACAACAAACTTTATGCTCTATATCCTTTGAAGAGAGGCCTTTTCTAACTTTGAGCTAATTAAAACAAAAATCTTTCAATTTTTTGAAAAGTTTAATTTTTTAGTTATTCATTTGAATTTTTAAATGTATTTCTAATATAAGAATGTCCATATTCACTGCCGAATTTCTGGCACGATACTGCGGGTAAAATTAAACGAATTTGATTTTCAAACAATGCGTGCGTTGCAGGGACGTCGCGATGCACGCATTATCGCAAAATCGTGTCTACGTCGGACATCTACATTTGCCAACATATGTTGTTGGTTTTGTAATCTGCCCGCATTTAACGCACCGCACCGCATTTCTGGTGTCTACGCTGGACACGGCGTTACGCGTTATATTAAGCCTAGACTTTAATGCTAGCCTAAGCAATAATTTTGAGTTCATTGACTATAGAAAATAAAAATTACCGGCAAAATATAAACCGAAACTTAGTTCATCAGCATAAAATTACTTGGCCAAAAATTTTAAAATTCTCCAATATGGTAGGTACACATGGGTAAACTCGCTCTTGGTTTGTGCTCATGCATTTTATATGTCAGCATATGAAAAATGAATTACGAATATGTTATTATCAAACTACTTGCATACATATGTACATATGACCTTTAACAAACCAAAATACTAACATACATACATATGTACGTACGTATCCACATCTGTAAGCGTGTGCGCGTTTGGTTTTATGCCAACATTAAAGCCCGTTAAAGGATTTTATGCACGTTTCATTGCGGAAACAATTAGCCAACGGATTTACGCTTCCCACTCGGTAGCCGCACCACTTGTGTGTGCAAATATTAAGCACTGCTTGAACACAATGTAAGCTTAAATTTATGCGAAAATGCAATGTATGCATGAATGTGCAACATTAAACCACCAATTGAAATTGTAAGAGCATTTTTTTGACAGACAATGGCATTACACTATGAACATATTTGCAGAAGTCTAATAAGTGCTTTAAACATTTTACTAACCGCAGATATATATGACAGTACAAATGTACATATGAAAATATGACAAATTAATGGGAAAGCTTATACTAATCCAAATGAATTATGATATATTTTTTTATCAAACCTTGTTGTGGACTTTTTTTCATAATTCGTAATACTTTGCTTAAGTAGTTGTTTTTTATTTAAATATAACATCGATACTAATTCTAAACTTTAAACTTATTGGCAACAAAAACAGGAAATTAAGCCAAAAACTTTAACAGAAAGTTAAGCGAATTACGGAAGGTTTCACGACCAGGGCGAATTCCTAAAAGCACAAACACGGCTACTTAAGTTATGCGTCGGAATATTGGGCGTGGTGAGAACCGCGCCTAAAGAGGTGCTTAGCATGCATGTGTGTACATGGAACTGCTTAACATTTTCGTTCATGTGAGACCTTAGGCTTAGGGAAGCCAACATGTGAAATCCAACTAATTCCAGGGAAGCGGCGAAATTGCGTGAGATGAAAAGCAGCAATTATTAGATACGTAACGCTAGGTTGGGCCTTCAATAAAAGGCTTCACATAGAATGATGTGCTACATATGTATAGGGTGGGTTTGATTGACACCAAAACACTGCGGTTTAATAAATAAATGTTGAACACACAGGTTTGAAATTAGGCTGTCGGTTTGTTGAAGCATGCGTGAGTAACGAATAAATTGGAAAAATATTTGATTTGATGCGTTCACGGGGGTGAATGTCAGTACTCGGCAACGAAGTCCCTCGGCCGTTCAACACCGAATTTGCGCTACTTTATATGGCAGCTGTAGTATACTTGGCAAGGGCCCAGCGTATTTCTTGGATGGTGGTGATGTCTGCTTTTGTCCTTACGAGGACATCAACCAGCCGGGAAGGGTACGTACGTACGTACCAGCTGCATGCCCTCAAATTGTAGATTTATTTTTTACTGGAATGGGTTTTTACGTGGCGGGTCCCGAACCCAGCGCACAACTCATTGCTAGGAGGGGTGTGGTTTCTCAACCGAATGCATGTTTGCATAGCGCGGCGCTTGTGCAAGACAGACGCTTACTTGCAGGCTAACCAACTGCTGTACAGACGCTGTGAACCCTTAAACCGAATAAGCCCGAGTAGCTCCACCGAATTTCCCTCTCTTTATGCCGTGACCAGCTTCAGCCGCTCCAGTTATATATGAAATTTTGAGTTGTGTCGATATTGTAGGGGACTATCGATATTTGAAATTTTAAATCTATCAAATAAAAGGTTGTTAGTTTAAATAGTTTAATATTTTCGAAATGTTTGAAAAGGGTTTCCACCTATTTAAATAATTAAATTAAAAATTTTCAGTTAGTTAAATGAATTACTAAATGAGTTTAAAAGGCTTCATTTCGGTACTAAATATATTTAAAAGGGTTGCCACATGTTCAAAAAAATCAAATTCAATTTGAATTTCGGCAATAAGGTAATTGAAATATGTTTCACAATACGGCGGTCAGACGAAAGTTAGCGTTTGCAAATATTTGGAAGAGGGTTACCACCTGTTAGAAAATTCGAAATATGCGTCTCAAACTAAACAGCGGTAAGAAATCTTTAACTTGATCATTTAGAATATATTCGCGGCTTTTTGGGTCTCCACCATTTACAAAGTTAAATTAAAATTATTTAATAAATTAAATGAATCATTAAAAGATGTGTGTCAATCGAATTGTTGTGGAAAGGCTTTATTTCAAAACTATATTTAGGAGGGTATTTGAAAAATATAATTCAACATAAATTATCAGTTAATTCAAATACGTATCCCACTGCCAGACGAAAGCGATTTAAGAAGAAGATGAAGAGATTAAGAAGAAAGGTTGCCACCTATTTGAAAAGTCATATCTGCTTAGTGTACGTAATACGCGAGGGCATATTTAA